TCTAATAATCCTTGTACAGGGCAAGCATTTTGCTAAACCTGATCTATACAAACTGGACAATAGGTTTGACTCTAAACACAATTGCCTATTGCTAACTCCTTATAGTATCTAAGAGGCTATTGAATTTAAATCTTGTTTAATTATTTTATTTTTTGTCTTACTTTTGATTTCCTTTAAATAAAAGATTGTTCATTCGACACTTATTTCTTTAAGATTTGCTAAAGCTTGCTAATTTTTAGTAAATTTTATTACACTATTTTGATTAGAAGTTTGAGATACTATTAAATATATCAAAATATAGCTGATAATTTATAAAGTGTATACTAGGTTTAAGTAAACTTTACAAGGGCAAAGTAGATAATAGTAGCAGAAATAAAAAGTTGCAAGTACTTGTTCTTAGACTTGGTATAAGTTACTGAAGTTTTGGTTAGCTAGATTGTAGATATGAAAGGCTTTAGCAAATTTACTTTAAGAATAAAAAGCTTCTAATTAGATATAAACCTATCTTAAAATTCTAAATCAGTATTTAAAAATAGATGATATATAGTATTTTTGTTTGATTATAAGGTTAATGTTTATAAATGCAGAAAGTATAAATAGATAACTCTTTAGTTAGTTATAGATATGACATCTAATATAAAATCTATAATATATTATCTATATATAGACTACTTAAATAGGAGGTTGTCTAAAGTGAAGGCATGTCATATGATCAACAGCCAATAAAATTACAGAATTTGGATGATCATCAGCGAAGCAAAAAAACAAAAAACCTGAAAAATACAAAAAATGACAGTTTAAACCTACCTCAGGTAGGTTAATCAAAAATGTCGAAAAGGCAATTTTGCTTATATTTATCTACTAAAACCTAGCTTAACCCCAATATAGAAGACCCTAACCCTAAAGTTAATTGAAAAAATTATTAAATATGAGTTGTCTCCACTTTAAACGTTCCCTTAAATAGGCAATTAAAAGTTATATATATAGCTAATTATACTTTTTAAATATATATATAGTATAATGTATATTAAAATAAGTCAATGTTTCAGCATCATCTTGTTTTAGCATCATTTCCAACAGTAATTATTAAAAATAACTAGTTGGAAAATAAAATCTAGGTTAATCTTATGTGAAATATGGGAAACACTGGAGATATAGGTTATAGATAACTGTTTAAGCTTCTGTGGTACATTTTATATAATGTGAATTAATATATAATACTAGCAACATAAGTTGTAATAAATAAGTGATAATAAAAACTAGAGGCATGACCTCACCTTGAATATCAAAAAAAAAAGAAAATACTATAAATTTTTGGGTATTTTTCATGCCAAGTTATATAATAATAAAATTTTTATAAAAAGAACAAGAAAATAATAATATATATATATTTAGAATTTTTTAAATTTTAAAAACTTACATATAAATATAGCATAAAAATTAGAATATATTTTTCTATAATTTATTTTAAACTTTTTACTTGTGCGCTAAAACTAGTTTACTTAATAAAAAAAATAAGTTTATATATGGTAATTATCACCAATTCGATTTCGAAAACTATGTCGGGTGTAATATTACTTGCCGAAAATTCAAAAAATAATTTTGATGAATTTTTATTAACGTTAAATGATTACTTCGACGAATTAATTTGATAAGCAACTAAATTTGGACGGGATTACCTATATTTTATTGTTAATAATTAAATCCGATTGTTCTAAAATCAACACATTAAATTCAAGTTCCAAAAAATAAAATTATAAAGCTGAATGCATATTTTAATTGAAGAGAATTACTGGTTATTTTAACCAATTTTCATGTAAGGGAGATAAAAATATCACCCATAAATAATGTAAAAAAAAATTGCTACCTGTTCATCTAAAAAAATGAACCTATTTTTATATATGAGTGCTGCCAAGGGAAAACCTGTCATCGGACTTTCAACTATATTTTGTGTACAGTTAGTCATCTATGGAAAATCTATCATTATGATAGATTTTTCATAGACGACTAACTGTACACAAAATATAATTGAAAGTCCGATGACAGGTGATGACAGGTTTTCCCTTGGCGGCACTCATATAATAAACGATGGCTAAGAAATCATTGATACATATTATATAAACGATCACTAAAAAAATCAGCGACTAATTGACATATTAGGTGATCACATATAGATATTATATCGAGAAGCCGTAATAACATGATTATAAATCGTAATGATAAATAATTTTGAGTATTCGATATCACAAATATATTTGTAGCCGACTCGACCGTCGACTAATATCGACTAATATCATACTTAGGAACAACGAAATACATTTGCAGCATATTTCTACATACTCACAATTCTTAAGTTTGATATTAAAGTTGACCAACATTGATTATGCTCTGACTAACGTAAATAGCATTTATTTTATAGATTTCTTTAGTTTTTTGGATTGTTTTTGATTCTCATACAAGAAATAAATATAAAATCACTTAAGTTCGAAATATAACTGAATAGTCTATAATAACTTAGATACAAATAATTACATCAAATATTACAGTAGTGTATTATTCACACATTTAATGGTGACAATAAATACATAAAGCGGATGAATAATTACAAAGTGGTAGTGGAATATGTAGAATCAACAGGAACATTAGAACTGACTACGTTTTCTAAATCAGATGGTGTAGATGTCATTGTGTTAATAATGTTCGTATCATTAGCATTCATTTGTGTTTCAGCTATAGCTCTTATTACTGGTGTTGTCTCTGGATCAGGAGCGACATCTGGATTTGTATTATGAGTTATTATTTCATGATCAGAAGGGTTAGCTATTGGGTTTGTTGTATTTATGCTTTCCACTTGGTTTTGTATTGAATTAGCTGCGGTCTCTGCTGCTGCTGCTGCTGTTGCTGCTGCTTTGACTGCTTTCTTTTTTTCTTCTTCAATTTTTTTTTCAGCTTTTTCAAAGATTTTCTACAATTTAACAATATCATTTCAATTTCAAGGCATAAATACAATAAGAATGTTTGATATTTTGACCTGACTCACAACTTGCATACCTTTGCGTAGCAGTCAATATTGAATTTAAAAGGTTTGTCACCAAAATTAACAGTCACACTTTCATTTGGACTTTCCATTCCACACATTGGATACATCTCACCCATAATTTTATCTTTAGTTTGTGCACCTAAATTTATGAATAATTAATTAATTAGTTATAATTATTAGTCACAAATAACCATAATATACAACTTACCAAATGGAAAGCCTTCAAAACTTAATTGTAATTCAATTCCTAGAATTACACCATTCTTTGTGAAAAAAACATATTTCTCAAAAAAATTGATACCACATCCAACAGTTTCGCCTGTAGTATAAAGTGGACCAAATTTTACACCACTTCCACGTTCACAATATAAATGCCCATCATCTCCATGATAACCTATCGTATCTGGCTCCCATCCTATTCATTCAAAATTTTTTCAATATTACTTATAAATTAGAAATTAAAAAGCGCAAATTTATAATGTTAAACCAAACCTGGCATTCTATTGAGACGAGTAGCTGGCTTACTTAGGCCAATTCCAATACATCTAAAAATTAATTAATCGACATTTGTTTGTACCATACTAGTATTAAAGATTAAAAAAATTTATTTGCATCAAGGATTAAAACCCTACCCTCGATCTCCGCGATCTATAATCGTCATTTCATAATAATACAAGCCAATCTCAGGATGAATAGGGTGATTCGCTCTGATTGAAGCAGCATCTACCCAATTTCTACCCGGACCATCATATTTAACTGTTAAATTTTTGTCATCAACAATTGCAACATAGGATGAGCTATCTGCTGGATTCCAGTGAGTGGGTAAAGGAACCCGAGAATATAATCTTTTATTATTTTTGTATAAAGGACTATCACGAAGATAACTTGGTAAAAAATTATCAGCAACCATTTTTTTTTTTAGTTTTCTTTGAAATAATTTAAAAAGAAGACAGGAAAAAAAAAATGGCTTTATAAATAATAATTTCGTGTCGTAATTTGCGCAGAAAGAAATTATAAAATTAGGAGAGAGTACATAACTGTTTTATACGTAATACATCATGCCATGCAGAATGGTGACACAAAGGTTTTATGATAATTCCGAGATGCGTTAGCTTTGTCATTCACAGAACACAGCCATATCACCATATCATTAATGAGCCGTAAATCCGGAGCTTGAAAAAGGCTTTAACTCCGTCAGAAAAAAATTTAACTCCGTTATAATAGAGCAAACAAAATGAATGCGCAGTTATTGAGCACAAATATGGCATTGTCGAGGTATTTTTAGCTTTTATTATATCAAAACAATGTTTAACATTTTTTGTCATTCCCGATCCGTCATTAAAGAGATTGTCATTAGTTTATGTATGTTATCATTAATCAAGCACGTGTGAGGACCTGTATTAAAAATTACTGCGTAAGGATTCTTATTAACCAAATATATTCTGCATTACATCAATTTTTTGGCGCATATCATTATTAATTACGCCACTTACATCAACTTACTACTAGAACAAAGTCATTTGTGGGAACGTTCAACAAATTGTTCACCTGATTTCTTTAAAGGTAACTTTTGGTCTAATTGCACCTACGTACGTACGTACGTACATAAATCACGTGTAACATTATTATGTATACAAAATATCAGCAATCTCCGCACCCAATACTGTCGAATAGAACGCAATTGGTTCACACATATATGTACAAATTTGGATGCAGTGTATACTTGAACTGCTGAAAAGGCCAATAATTTTAATCATAAGTCACGTGCTATCCAACAATCATTGTTACGATAGAGACGAGGTTCAAAGGCTGGGTAAAAAAAATTTTTTTTCGAATTCTAGTTGTACAATATATTGCATGTAAATCATGATCGATCGGTTGAAAACCAGTTATTCTGCAACTTGAGATCCTCATCCCGACGATAGTACTTATGGAGGATATACTGTTCGTCCCCCCCTTACAAGCCATCTTACGCTATTTTATGTTAGCTAAACAAAGAATCAAGCTAGTCTAGATAAGTTTATAAAAGCACCAGAGTAACCAACAATCAAGAACGCAGTCATATATTTTTCCGACCAACAAATTCGGACACGTGAGTGGCCGTGACGGAGACTTGTTACTCTGATCATCGATATTGATATTAATACTGTCAACTATCGATATAAGGCCAGACCAATTAGGTTCTCTGTTTTACCTTACCCCCCCCCCCCCAGCGTTCCCCCCTCTCCCTCATAGTAAAAAAATTTAGATAAATATATATAGGGCTTCGGGCTATTCGGAAAATTTTTATATAGTCACGGAACAATTCGGAAAATTTTTTTTTGAAAAAAAAAAAAATTTTCAATTTTACTATGTAAACCATCCCTCCCCCCTCCGGAGGAGGGGGGAGGGGTAATGTAAAACAGAGAATCTACTTGATCTGGCCTAACGGATACCCTTACACCGGATTCACCGGTTTAACAGATATTTCGCCAACCCATATCGAAGTACCGATTTTATTATAAATTTTAATTTATATAACGAATATGCTATGTAACGGTCAGCCCAGGTTTCCGTTATATCGATAGTTGACAGTATCACGGCATTTATTCTAATTATTTATTTCTAAATCTTCTTTATTAATAATGTATTTGTATTTAACAACTTAAATCGCTCCTGTAGAGAAGAAAATTATTAATAAATGATAATTCCATGAATTATCGATTTTAAGTGAAGCCGGAATCTCGATAATTTTTTTGAAAATGAAAGCTAACCTATCTGTACAGGTAAAGAAGTGGATTGGTTCAAGAAATCATTCGAACAACTAATTAATAATGAAATAAATGCAATGATAAAATTTTTCGTCAATTCACCAACTTCTTTCTTAATTGGAAAGAGTTTACTGCTATAGAAAGTGAATCTGTCAAATAATCAAGAACAATAATTAACTGAATGGATCAAAAACAATGAGAATTGATGGTTAAAGTTGGTTATAAATAAGGTGCAGGTCAAGGGTAGCTATCTTCATGGCTTCACGGCTATACGTCACATTTTTAAAAAGTGACGTATGTCGTATGTACGTAAATTCGTATGTTGTATATAGTGTGTCGTATGCCGTCTAATGTATACATGCGGGTAAAATTATGATTTTTTGATCACTTCTAGCATGCTCTATAATGCTAGAACACTGTTTTTTCTATACTGTATATGCACCTTAACTATAATCGTTTGATATGACTGCCAATCTACGTCATACTACATCAGTCATGTCACTACGTCATAATACAATAGTTACGTCAACATCAAATGTCATGCACGTCACTGTGCTGCATATAGTATCCCCGGTCTTTTACAAGAAATCAAAGAATGATTAAAGTGTTTATAGTGTTTATTTCTATATTATTTGTTTCAACATAAGGAGGTTGGGTATTAGAACTACTAAAATGGTCTACAGTTTCATTATATTGACTAATTTGTCTGATGGTATCGAGAAACTTCCTATTTTGTTCATAATCTTCTTTGAATGATTTTAAAAAGACATGATTAGATTGTATAGAAATGTAACAAACAATCAATACTCCGGGGGGAGATACTATACACTGAAGATAGTAAATTGATCATATGAGTTGATCGTATAACATTGATTACAAACAAACATAGTGCAGGTCTGATCATTAATCAAGATTTTTTTATACATACGTAGTGTACCGTTAATTTAATAGTAAAAACATATAAAATTCAAACTGCAATAACTCTTGAACCAGCAAACCCACACAAATAAAATCATAGTTGTCAGGTTTATTTTTAACGTGCTTTTTAAAGTAACATCTTTTTTTAAAAATTATTTTTATTGTTTGGAGGACTCAATTTCTGTGCAAATGATCGTTCTTGATATACTTTTAATAAAAATATCAAAAACGTAACTTTGAACTTTTGTCTGTCATTATGCAATGGTGATCAAAAAAATTCAGTTTGTTTTTGATATTTTTATTAAAAATGCGTCAAAACGATTATTTTGCACGGAAATTGAGTCCTCCTCTATGCTCCAAACAATAAAAGTGAATGAAAAAATGGCACTGTTGACAAAAAGAGTTATTGCAGTTTGAATTTTATATGTTTTTACTATTATTTCTTAATTGGGATCATTATCTGCACTATGTTGTAATTAGACCGATATAGAACACCCCAGAGTAATAAGTGTATGATAAGTGTATGGTTGGTGATGTCACAACTATAGATGCTGGTGAAACTAAATAACGTTTGCGAAACTGGTGCTATCTAAAACCTGATTGGCTATTATATTAAATTTCATCAGTTTCACCACCATTCATCAAGAGTTTCACCAGTTTTACCAGCATCTATAATCACAACTATAGATGCTGGTGAAACTGGTGACTATCTAAAATCTGATTGGCTGTTATATTAAATTTCACCAGTTTCCCCATTCACACCAGTTTCACCAGAATCTATAGCCACAACGCACCTAGAAAATAATATTTCTTATTTTTGAAAAAAAGATGTGAAGTTCGTGTATTTTAATATTGTAAACCATTACTTCATGATTTTGCAGACTAAAGTTACAATAAAAGTTAGAACCTATCTATAGGGATGGGGAGGTATGGTTTGGTTCGATTTGGCTTAATTCAAATTTGGTTGATGCATTATCTGCATAAATTAGAATTTATATTAAACCAGACCAAACCAAACCAAGCTTCTCCATCCCTACCTATCTAGAGCTATGATGAATTAAAACCTAAAATCACTTTGGAAAACGTGAAGATTGGTGAATATTAATACTAAAGATAGATGCTTTGAAGTGAATTCGTGGATTTCAAGAAAAATCAACAATGTGACGCACCTAACCAGGATTTATACAGTTAAAAGGATCAAAGTCATTTTTAGAAAGACATTGCATTTACAGTAATTTAGTAAAGCAAATAATAATAATAATAATAAATACAAAAAGTTTGAAAACTAAAAACACGAATTGTTTTGTGGCATTTTAAGTTAAAAACTTATAATTCGCTTGACAAAAAAGACTCAAAAAAAAATAATAAATAAATAAATAAAATCGAAAGCCTGAAGTTATTTAATTGAAAAAAAAGTTTAATATTAATAAAAAAAAAATACATACAGTCAACTCTTTCCATAGCGAACAGAAGAAATAAAAGGTCGTTATAAAAAATTGCTATGTTTTATTAAAAACCCATGACACCTCTTATACCGAGCTATTGTAAAATTTCAAGATTTGAGTTCGTTATATCCAGAATAGATCTGTTGTAAGTGAATTTATATATAAAACCCCATTTTTTGGGGTTGATTTTATCATATGTACTAGTGATCCAAATCGTTAGTTGAAAAACCAACTAGTTGACAACTTTCCAACCAATCGATTTGGAAAATTTTGAAACAACTAATTGATTAAATTATCAACTAGTTAAATTCCGAAACATTCCGTCTATTTAGGCTGGTTCGTGTTAATTTCTTTATTTTGATTGGCCAACCAACAAATTTAGTCACATAATAGGAAAAATCGATTAGTTGCAACTATAGTTGACAACTAATCGATTGGAAAAATTTTACCAACTCGGAACACTAATATGTACACCCTAACCCTAACCCTAATTAACTAGGAAATTCCAAATTCCATTCCCAATTACAATATACTACATTACATTGATTGGTTAGACATTAAACGTTACACGCAGAAAATCACTAAACCGGGCGCACTTTAACCAATTGTTCACCTCGTTCATTAAATATATTTATTAATGTATCATATTTTTAAAACATAGAATAGGTAAAGTGTACAGTATAAAACAAAAGGCTTTTAATTTAAGAAAAGTACATTGCAAATTTTGTATATACACGTTATATCGATATCAACATCTGGCTATAACTGCATTTTTTAAAATTTTGAACCTATATACT